ATCATAGTTTGCTAAAACAGATGTTGATAAATTAATTTTTTTAGCAGTACAGGTTGCAAAATGTTTAACAGAAGAAAGAAAAGTTGCATCTGGTCGACGTATTTCATGAATTGAATGAAAATCATCAAGATTAAATATATATAAATAGTTAATCTAAATAAAAATAAATAATAAATTATATATTATATATAATATAAATATTTTTTATTAAAATAATTTACCTGTTCATTAAAATATTTATTAATTTTATCAAAATGATCTTCAACAATTTGTTGTTTATATCTTAATATAGTTTTAGATGAAACTGTAAGTCCAGTATTTGCTAAAATATCTATACCTCTATAAGAAGTTCCTGCTGAAGCTAAATGAAGTCCTATATCTAATTTATAACTATTTGCAAATTTATTTCTTAAACCTGCAAAAAGATAACAAAATGAAACAATAGATTTTTTTGCTTCTTTCTGATTATAAAAACTTCTTGTAGTTGGTATAAGGCCTTCAACTAATTCATCAAAAAATCCAATTAATTGAGGTTCATTTTCTTCTAACATTTGTTTAAATTTAATAGGATCATATTCTGGATTATTTTTATATTTTCGTTGCTAATTATAAATTACTAAAGTAAGAAGTTGTAATTTAGTTGCAAAATTAATTTCTATAAATTTAAATATAATAATTTTAATTAATTATAAATATAAAATTTAAAATATATATTATATTATTCTAATTTTTAAATACTATTAGATATATTATTTTTATCAATATTTTCAAAATTTTTATTTATAGTTTCAGAGACTTCAATAATTTCTTCAAATATTTTATCTTTTTGGTTTTCTTGTAAATATTCAATATTTGAAACTAAATTTAAAAAATCTTGTTTAGGAATATATATTTTATCATCTAATATTTCTAAATGAATATTATCCCATTTTAATTCAGAAGATTTTTCTGTTTTTTGTAAATTTTGAAAAACTTCATTAATTTTAGAATAATTTCTATTTGGTTCTACAATAAGAAGATAATGTTGATCACATAATTGATGTTGATTTGGTATAAGATAAGAATATTCTACTATATCTAAAGTTCCACATTTTTGAGCTTTTTTTGTAGCAAATTTAGTAAATTTACGAAATTTTGAAGTATTATATTGATAATTTTCAATTGCATATGGACCAAAATTTTTTTTCTGTGGTGGCATTGTTATAAAAATTAAATTTTTTAAAATTACAAAATTACAAAAAAAAAAAAATTATAATTAAAAAAAAGCAGAATATAGGTTATATTTATAATTTTTATTGTAATACAAATATAATAAATGTTACAATTAAAACTAAATAAAGTTTAATTATTATTACACAAAAATTATTATTACAAAAATTTATAGTATTAATACCTGGTTAAAAAACTTTATTAAAAATATATAATCTTTAAATATATTACATATTTATATATAATTAAATC